AGAGAATTTAAATAATAAACACTCAAAAGTATCGAAAATTGGTACCGTTAAGTACCGGTATCGATTCCTAGGTACCGGTAATTAGTACCGAATCGATTCAAATGTCAAAGGTACCCATCCCTACACATGCTTCAGATCAATTTAACAGTGACCTTTGACTTTTACATATTTGCATTGTTACAATAATCTATTGGAACATTTTGAAAAAAGGAACCATTAATGTAATTTTCTGCAGAATGCAAATCATTTTCTGCCGTGAGGTTTAAATAGTCACTCTGCTCAGAAAAATATAATTTAAGTGGCAGAATTGATCAGAAAATTATCAGAACTTTATTAAGGAACTACATATAATTAGTAGGAATTATTACGAAACACTTCAAAAATCTGAAAGCATCAGGAAGTATTTTGAAATTTTGTAACTAACTAACTAAAACTTTGTTTATATAGCACCTTCACACGGCCCAAGGACCAAACAAAGTGCTGCACAGCAGAAAAAACGCATTTAAAAAATAATTAAATAAAATAAAAAATAAAAACATATAAAACCATTTAAAACCAGCAAAAACATGCAGATAAAATCTAGGCGGGGCAGCTAAAAGTGCAGAGCCATCAGTTAATGGGACTCTTCCTGAATAAAAGCTAAAGAATAAAAGTGAGTTTTCAGCTGGCTCTTAACCTTGCCGAGCGTGGTGGCCTGTTTAACACATGTAGGTAGCTCATTCCAGAGCCTCGGCCCCAGCACCGAGAAAGCACGACCCCCTCGAGACTGTAGTCTGTGTTTAGGAACGACTAACAGTCCTTGTTGTGCTGACCGAAGGTTCCTTGCGGGAACATAAGGATGGATCAGATCCGACAGATAATGTGGAGCCAACTCATTTAAACATTTAAAAACAAACACCAGAACTTTAAACGAAATTCTAAAAGAGACTGGAAGCCAGTGTAGGGATGCCAAGACGGGTGTGATGTGTTCAGATCTCCTGGTACCAGCCAGTAACCTGGCTGCCGCGTTTTGGACCTTCTGCAGTTTCGCTATGGAGGCCTGCTTGATGCCTGCATAAAGTGAGTTACAGTAGTCCAGTCTGGTGGTAATGCAGGCGTCAATGACAGTTTCCAGATGTTTACGTGATAGCAGTGGCTTAATCCTAGCTATTCTCCTGAGATGGAAATAGCAGGATCTGATTGTTCCATTGACCTGGGTGTCCAGTGTGAGCTCTACATCCAACTTCACCCCCAGGTTGGTGACCACAGCCTTCTCAAAAGGCGCTAATGATGGAGAGTCAATCCCTTGGGCACATCCATGTTTGTATTTCAGGCAGAACAGGATAGTCTCAGTTTTATTCTGGTTGAAGAACAATAAATTTTGAGCCATCCATAACTTGACCTCCTCCATGCAGTCCAAGAGCGGTTTAAAAGAACTTGAGTTATTGCATGATTCAGGTAAATAGATTTGACAGTCATCCGCATACATTCCGCATTGTAAGACCCTTAAGAGGTTTCTGTGAGTGCTGTTACACTGTGGACTGTGGGTGGGATGGATGGATGGATGGATGGATGGATGGATGGATGAACTGAATGATCATTGGTGTATGGATGGAGGGTCACAGGATGGATGGATGGATGGATGGATGGATGGATGGATGGATGGATGAACTGAAGGATCATTGGTGTATGGATGGAGGGTCACAGGATGGATGGATGGATGGATGGATGGATGGATGGATGGATGGATGGATGAACTGAAGGATCATTGGTGTATGGATGGAGAGTCACAGGATGGATGGATGGATGGATGGATGGATGGATGGATGGATGGACTGAAGGTTCATTGATGTATGGATGGAGGGTCACAGGATGGATGGATGGATGGACTGAAGGATCATTGATGTATGGATGGAGGGCCACAGGATGGATGGATGGATGGATGGAGGGTTGAAAGATGATGGATGGATGGTTGTTTTCTCCCAAAAAAGAAACAAAGCATAAAATAGAAAAGGTACAGCTAAAGATGGTGAGCTCATGGTAAATGGCGTGTATTTGTATAGCAGCTTCGTAGGGTCTACAACCCCCCAAGGTACTTCACAACACAATCAGTAATCCACCCAATCACACACTGGTGGGGACGAGCTACAATGTGCCCTCAGCTGCACTGGGGGGCGCTGACGGAGGCAGGGCCTGTCGAGCACTGGCACCACCACCACCGCCACCAGTGGGCAAGGCGGATTAAGAGTCTGGCCCAAGAACACAACAGCAACATTCTCTGGTCGGAGCCGGGATCAAACCTGCAACCTTCCCATGCAACCTCCTGAGCTACTGCTGCCTCCATCTTCTACATAGACTTCAGTTTGTTTCTTCATCTGTCTGCAGCATCCAGCGGGCTTGGCGTGACTTTCTGCAGAGACAGGAAGTGGTGAAAAGAAGCCCCTCCCCACCTTCGCTCTCCTCCTCAGACAAGATGAGCATGTCAATCAGCATGATGACCCTGTCAGACGGCTGCACTCCCGTAAGTCATCCCCGTGTCAGACATATTCTCCGTTACAAACACCCGACACGCAGACGACACGACAGCCAGTGGCGGGAGTGACGGCGGTTGGTGAAGCGTGTTTCTGAGGAGGTGTGTGAGCTTCTCCAGCAGAGGACGAGTCTCTCGGTGGACACGTGTTTCAGGTTTTCTGTCCAGGACAGAAATAAGCAAGACTTCATTATTTTCTGCCAAACACATCCACGAGTTTCAGCACCAGTTGTGTGAGATGTCTCTATTTGAGATTTGTGTGATTGTCTGGCTAAACTCTGGATCATTTGAGTTATGGACTTCATCTGTTTCAGGTCATTTTCAGGTCAATTTGTCTAGTCTTTGGGGCCATTATGCCAGTTTGTATCAGTTAAATATTCAGAAAAATTGGCAACCTTTTGTTATGATCACTTTTGTTTTCCCTTCAGCTTAATTCAGGGGAGTTTCATGACACCGGTGAAAACATTATTTGTATGTATACTCCTCTCCCGGATGGTCAGTGGCTGAAAAGAGGAGTCAGTTAAATGATGTTAAAATAAGGGTTGTGTAAATGAAAATATTCACTACAGTAATCCGCATTTTAATGTTAGAAACAACTTTGCGCAGTGATTAGATTAACTAACTGGTTGTCATACTCCTGGGAAATAACTGCTTATGTTGTTTTGCATCAGTCCAGTAGAGGGCAGCAGATCTCTGGTCTATTGATCTACTTTTCAAATCCCCTTTCTTGCTTGGACATTCATGCTAAGAGCCTTTATTTGTTTATTTAGCCATTGTCATTCAGCACAAGCCTCGATCTTTTGTTTAGTAAAACCAAAGTAAACCCTCCAGGTTCTCTCAGCTGCATCTGCTCTGGTCATTCTAATTCTATGCTGATGTTGTCTGCAGCCTGCTGTCTGAATCAGCAGGTCTGTGTGCACTTCCCCGTAATCTCTGAGTCTGGAGTCAACAGGCGGGTTAAATCTCAGAGATGGCTGGGAGAGTCGGGAGTATGAGCATACTTAGACGGTGCTCGCCTACCCTCCTGCTGCTGAAACAGACGGTTTGATTTGGATTCTTGCTGATGCCAGCTGGGTCGGATCAGTTATGAGTTAAGAAAATCCAGCTGAAAAAAATACGTGCCTCATCTTTCTGACAGAGGAAATGAATCCACCGGCTCCGGCCGTGGTGGATGAAGTCGTCCAAAGCTGTTTACACAGAGGCATGAAGCGAGCATGCATCATATACGGCGGGTGTGTCGGAGATCCTTCAGGATGGAGGAGGAATGCTTAGGTCAGTGAGTTGGACCTGCTCACAGGGGCAGATGATCATCACGGGGAGAGAGAGAGAGAGGAGTGGATCTTGTGAGTTCATTACGACCCTAAGGTCACAGGAGAAGAAGATGAAGAGGGGCCGTTAGTTCACCGGTCGAATCCTGCTGACACTGTAGATCTGATCTTTATTTCCTCCCATCCCATGTATGTAATAGTCCTGTATATACTTTATACCCTGAACTCACATCACAACTGTTCTTTTCCCCCTCTCTTACAAATATGTCATCACATTCGTGCATTTTCAGGACGTAGCGGCTCCTGCTTGTTGACTTTTGTACATTTTTACATGTGAACACTCCTGAGATATGGGGTTATATTTTCATGAGGCACAGTGATGTGGAGACCGTCTCTAGGGTAAGACTATGACATCAGTGTATGACCTCATCTTGCCGCCTCATACGTCCGTGTGAGCACGTTGCTTTAGCAAGAAGACCTGATGGACATCCTGCAACGCCTAAATGTGTGAACGGTCTTCCACTCTGTAACTTGGATATCTCTCTTTGTGATCGATCCCCGGGCGCCGTGGCAACAGCAATGCAGGGAGGCAGAATTATGGGTTTCATTAAAAGGGAACCCAACAAAACTCTGGCCTTTATGCTCAGATATGAATCAACTGTCCAAATTTTATTGTTTCATAATACTGGGCTGTTTCCACACAGCCAGCCCACCTACAAACACACACACACACACACACACACACACACACACACACACACACACACGCATGCACGCACGCGCGCACACACACAGACTGCTGCAGCTTCAATTTTCAACTGTCTACAAGACAAATGTCTCTTTATTATGAGACATCAATCAATACTGTTTGGGGACTGGGCAAATGTTTTTCTAGCGGGGTTGACACTAAATTATTTGAAAATTGAGGGGAAAAGTAGCATCAAGGGAGAAAGTCCAGAAAAATCTTTGAAGTCGCCTCTAAAAGTTTGGTTTTTCATCCTTTAAAAAAACAAATCTACGGTGTTTTAGGAGTGTGCTGCAGGTTTTTGGTCTTTGGGAGTGGAGGAGCTGTCCATGGCTGTGGTGCTGATTTGTAGTCAGTGATGTCGTAGCGGAGTCCAGACACTAGAGGGAGACGTTGAATCACACAGGAGTGTTTTTTTATTTATTTATTTGTTCTATTTAAAGGAATAGACTCCTAACAAGGATCACCCAACTGAATCTATTAACATCCTACTTGTGATTATTTAATTAATCTTATCTGTTTACATTTGAGCATATCGTGGACTATGTTCTGGCACTGGAGCATATCCTATTGCGTTTCTTTGGGTTATTTAGGGGTGTTGTGTATGTTGTTGAATTAGAAAATTCGTTTTATGTTATACTTTCCTGTAGAGTGTGTAAACGTGTGCTTGTTTACCAACTGGTGAAGGGCACAGAGGACCACATTAGCCCATCTGTCCAGTGAAGGTGTAGCAATACGCTACCTTCGCCGTCTACCAGCTGCTACGTGTTTCCTCCTCTGCCCTCCTCCATCAGCGCTCTCCTAACACCCCCCCTCCTTCTTTTTCCTGTCATCCCATAGTTTATTTTAGCCTCCTCCTTTCATATTTAATGTCTCTTTTCCCCAGTCTTCTGTGCCTCTCTCTGAGCCTCTCTGCATGTTTCTGTCTCAGTGTTTCAGACTCTCCCTTTATCACTTCCTCACCCTCCCACTGTTTCTCTGGCTTTATCGGGTCAGGCAGCTGCTGTGGCAGCTGCAGCTGTGGAGGCCTGGGAGGAGAGATAAAATAGGTTAGGCAAAGTTTAGGAACTTTCATGGGGTTGCTCTACGTTCTGTCTTTGTTCGCCACACGGAAACACACAGCAGCACAGAGATAGGGGACATTCGGCAGTACGGAACTACAGATTTAGGTCTTCGGGTTAACCACCGGGTCTGGGCAGAGGTGCCCTGAAATAACCCACTCCGTTTTAATGACTTCACAATGCTTTAGAAGTTCAGCAGATTATTGAGGCAGCAGGCTGCACAGCTTGCTCCCTGTGCCAAAACATTTGCCCCATCACACTGGTTTTATTCATTTAGTCAAGTGCACAATACAAATGCGCCATCAGTGGGAACAAACATGTCTGGTAACTGGGCAAATTTTCATTACTATGAATGGAAAAGTCACCAACATGAACAGCTTGGCCCATGGGTCATTGTGCTCTGTGCATTAAGCTACTTTCTCACAGGCTGAAAGTTGAATTTATACTTTCAGTCTTCTCAATATTTTGTCTTATTTAAAAGTGACATATGTAGGAATTTTACAGTGAAAATATCACAAAACAGTCTAAAGTCTCAATCATGCAGGAAGGAAGGTTGCATATAAGGTGATTGGATGCACCCTTCCCTCCTTGGACACTATCACCCTGCAGAGGTGTCTCACTAGAGCAAGGACCATCTCCAGGGACATTTACCACCCAAACAACTACCTTTCTGCCATGCTTCCCTCTGGGAAAAGGTTCAGATCCCTCAGCTGCAGGACCGACAGACTGAGGAAGAGTTTCTTTCCCTGGGCTGTTAGAACCCTGAATGGACAGAAAAATCAACTCTATTGATATTATTTATTGTATTTTGTAATGTTTTTGTTTTTATTGCATGGTGCATATTGTACTTGTTTTAGCTATTTTTCTTAGTATTTTTAGCGGATGCCTAATGTGGAGCTCTAGGAAATTTCGTTGAATGGACAATCAATTAATGACAATACAGGATATCTATCTCTATCTATCTATTAAAGTAAATGTACTTCTCAGTCGGCTGGGGCGTTTCAAATTTTCCCCTAAGAGGAACGTAGTCATTGTTTACAATCTGACCCGCCTCCATACTTCCTGCTTCCACAGCCATTTAAGCCTGCAGAGTTGCTAATTCTGCCCTGGCATTTGTAGTTCAACACCAGTTGGCACAGAGCAGCAGTGTTGTGGAGAAAATGGAATCCATTAAGCAGGAGCGACCCAGAAGTTATTTCTCGTACGCCTAAGAAGCCACGGCATCTTTTTGGTTTGCTCTTAATATCTGGTAAAGATGGCTAGAGACTAACATTGAGCTAACAATGCTAACGGTGAATTTGAAACAAATAGTTGGCTCAAAAAAATTAATCTCAAGCTACTTTTTCAATTGCCATCAAATCGATACTACAGTGAAATGTATTTTCCACTTATCAGATTACTGTGTCTGCCTGACTGACTGATTTGTGTCTGAATAATTTTAATAAACTCAACAACAACATGGGATTGACGAAATTATTACAAGAAGCTCAATATTATGGTTCCAGTTAAGCCAGCATGCTGGATGCTGCCTTCTCCCAGTAGCCTTTCCCCTTCTCCTCCACTGTGGAGCAGAGCAGCACTTAGATGATTTATGGTAATTATGCAAATGAAACATAAGGCTTTGGAAATTAATGCTAACCCCCTCAAGTCTGTTAATCACTGGAGGATGGGTGTAACTACAGCTAATGCTTTTTTTATTTTACAATCTTGTTACTGTAATACCGGGAACGATGCAAAAAAAAAAAAAAGTAAAAGAAAAGAAAAGAAAAACCCAAGGTCTGGAGATAAGAGCTTGTCCTGAATCAGGTTAGGTTTTTTTAATCCTCCCAGCGCCCGTTCACACCTTTAATCGTTTCTTTTCATTAGAGGCAAATTGATTGAAAGGCGTTTCCACACGTGGGCTTGTAATGTGTTTTT